GCCAGTCGTGGTGGCTCAAGCCTGTAATCCCAGCAGTTTGGGAGGCTGAGGTGGGTGGATCACCTGAGGTCAGGAGTTTTAAGACCAGCCTGTCCAACATGGCGAAACCCCATCTTAAAAAAAATATATAAAAAGTTAGTGGGAAGAGGAGAGTTGTAGGGAAAGCTCTGAAGCTCTGTGGAGGTGCCCATTCCTTGCTGTGATGTCCTCAGTGCACGCTTGTTTCCCTCCCCAGGACTTCGTGGTGTATGTGATGACGCGAGAGCAGCACGTGTTTGGCCGAGGTGGGAACTCGTCCGGCCGCGGCGGGTCCCCGGCCCCCTATGTGGACACCTTCCTCAACGCCCCGGACATCCTGCCGCGTCACTGCACAGTGCGCGCGGGCCCGGAGCACCCGGCCATGGTGCGCCCGTCTCGGGGCGCCCCGGTCACGCACAACGGCTGCCTCCTGTTGCGGGAGGCCGAGCTGCACCCGGGCGACCTCCTGGGGCTGGGCGAGCACTTCCTGTTCATGTACAAGGACCCCCGCCCGGGGGGATCGGGGCCGGCGCGGCCGCCTTGGCTGCCCGCACGTCCCGGGGCCACGCCGCCGGGCCCCGGCTGGTCCTTCTCCTGTCGCCTGTGCGGCCGCGGCCTGCAGGAGCGCGGCGAGGCGCTGGCCGCCTACCTGGACGGCCGCGAGCCGGTCCTGCGCTTTCGGCCGCGCGAGGAGGAGGCGCTGCTGGGCGAGATCGTGCGCGCCGCGGCAGCCGGCGCCGGGAACCTGCCCCCCCTGGGGCCCGCCACGCTGCTGGCGCTGTGCGTGCAGCATTCTGCCCGGGAGCTGGAGCTGGGCCACCTGCCGCGCCTGCTGGGCCGCCTAGCCCGGCTCATCAAGGAGGCCGTCTGGGTGAGTGCCCCAAGCGCCGTCCAGCCCCAACAGCATCCCAAGTCCCTTTCCAGCCTCCCCTCCCCACCTGCAACCCTTTTCATAGTTGGGGTGGATGAAACTACTGTTCCCATGATGCCTCGGGTAGGATTTTGGATTATTAAGCAAGGGCATGCCCACCGACATAGGATGCTGGGAGTTGTAGATGAATCCACTGCGCTTAAAGGAAGCCCAGACTCACCTTGGGAGAACTCACCTTAGGAAGAAACCATTGTCAGTGTCAGCATTCACCACAGCCCATTGGGCTTGGGGCTTGGATAGTAGTGAGCAAGTTCATTCTTTGGGGGGAGGAAGAACAAAGCCACTGGACTTACAGATGAAAGTTCCAGAAAGAAACCATTCAGAGTGGGGGAAATGTTCCATCCTATTGAGCTAGGGCCTAACCAGAGGGGTTTAAGGAGTTTCTTGGGGGTAAAAATTGGAGAAGACCTGAAGGAGATAGACCACTCATGATCGTAGGGTGTGTGTGGTTTTTTTGTTGGTGATGGTTGTAGGGCACGTTGGGTGCCAGATGTAGGGCTGAGTGCCCACAGGGTCGTGGGGTGAGCCTTATGCTGTGCTGAGGTGCAGGATCCGAGAAATAGAGACAGGACACAGAAGTACAAGAAAAACGCAGCTGGGCTCAGGGGGCCACGCCACCTATGAGTGGAGTCAGGCGGGGCCCCGAGTGTCCAGAAGCATGAGTATTTATTGTGCATAGGTTAGGGGGCAGGGCAGTGAGTGAAATCATCTTTAAGGATAGTGATAGGGTCGTGAACAATGAAACATGGGGTCCACCCCCATTAGGTCACCTAGGCCAGGAGGAGGACAATGCGCAGCAAGGGTCCCGTTCCCATGAAGGCAAGGGCCGTGTGCAATGAAGAGGGTGCAGTGTGCAATACTTCTATCTATGGGAAACTACTTCTAGGAAGATTTATAGGAGGATGCTTTAAGTCACATAGCACTGACAGAGCTGTCAAGGTTACTGCCACCTGCTGGCAGCTTCCAATGGGTTCTATGGGAAGATGCTTTTCAAGCAGCACAGTATCAAAAGCTGATAAAGTTCACAGTCACCAAGGTGGACTGCCAGTCTGAGGGCAGCCTTCCACAAGAACTGGAGCAAGGTCCTACAACTCCTTTATCAGGAGGAGTGGCTCTCGCCCCAAGCCTGCCGTACAGCGGGTATCTTTACGATACTGAACGCTGCCGCCTGGGCCATGGTCTTGTCCTGGTATAACTGTTTTTCCCTTAAATCATGCTCTGCACTGTGTCTGCTCTAGGCATTCCTCCGATTATAAACTGCTTATTCCTTAATTCGTGCTCTGTACTGTGTCCACACTAGGGACTCCTCCGATTATGAACTAAGATATAATTATAGGTATATAGGTAGGGAATATTCTTTAGGCATTCATACTATCAACTATTATATGATTATATATAGAGGATTATATAAAGGGATTCTTCAAGCCCTATTTCTATAAACTAATATATGATTATGTAAAGGATTATATAAAAGGAAATAGCTGAGTAGTAACACTATAAAGTGAGATATTCCTCAAGCCCTAACTGTGCCAGGGCTCTGCTTAGCTCTCATTCCTCGGTGCCTATATGGGGGGTTACCCACAGTGGTGGTGGTAGGGGTGGTGTTTTGAGATGGAGTCTCGCTCTGTCACCCAGGCTGGAGTGTGGTGGCACAATCTTGGCTCACTGCAACCTCAGCCTCCCAGGTTCAAGTGATTCTCCTGCCTCAACCTCCTGAGTAGCTGGGATTACAGGCACATACCACCACACCCAGCTAATTTCTGTGTTTTTAGTAGAGACAGGCTTTCAACATGCTGGTCAGGCTGGTCTCGAACTCCTGACCTTGTGATTCGCCCTCCCCACCCACCCACCTACCTCAGCCTCGGAAAGTTCTGGGATTATAGGCGTGAGCCACTGTGCCCAGTCAAGTGTGTGTGTTTCAAAAGGTAAGGAGAGACCATTCTGAAACTTGTGGGATTAGAACCCATATGAAGAGTGAGGGCCGGGTGCAGTGACTCACACCTGTAATTCTGGCACTTTGGGAGGCCGAGGTTGATGGATCTTTTGAGTTCAGGAGTTGGAGATCAGCTGGGGCAACATAGTAAGACCCCATCTCTAAGAAAAGTAGGACCGGTTTCTGTGAGAATGGCACTTCTAGAAAAGCCAGGGTATTGGCTGGGCACAGTGGCTCATGCCTGTAATCCTAGCACTTTGGGAGGTTGAGGCGGGTGGATCATCTGAGGTCAAGAGTTTGAGACCAACCTGGCAAACATGCTGAAACCTCGTCTCCACTGAAAAATACAAAAATTAGCCGGGCATGATGGTGTGCACCTGTAATCCCAGCTACTCGGGAGGCTGAGGCAGGAGAATCGCTTGAACCCAGGAGGCGGAGGTTGCAGTGAGCCAAGATCGCGCTGCTGCACTCCAGCCTGGGCAATAAAGCAAAAACTCTGTCTCAAAAACAAACAAAAAAGTAAGAAAGAAAAACCAGCC